AAAGCTTCGCAGCCTTAAGCAACGTCGTCCGCGTGTATGTGAATATGTTTTAAAAATGGCTTGATGAAACAGACCGGTGAGTTGGAATGGCGTTCTGTATTATTCAGCCTGAACCGTTATAACTAAGGCAGAACTGAAATTGAAGGCTAAACCATTTTTGTTACTCCATCTTCTCTCCCATGCTTGTCTATGGTCATGAGGCGTGGGTAATGACTGTCTGGTAAACGCGGCTTAAATGGGCTTTCTAAGATGAATCGGTGGATTCACGCGTCTCGATATGGTTCGTAGTTCAAATATCTAAGAATGCCTTGGCATAAAGCAGCCGTTTCTCTAGATTGATAAGTCACGGCTGTGATGGTTTGCTTTTAGAAAGGAAGGCGAAATAAGTACTCTGCCCAACCGGTCAGCCGATGAATTTGGGAAAGACCAAAAACTACCTTAGGCGAGTGTATCGAAGGACTCTGCTCTTGACTCTGGTAATCTTTTGTCGAACCTGAAATGCTGACACCGATTCGGGAGCGTTGGAGACTGTCTGATGAATATGCTTCCACGATTCGGAAGGATAAGCGGTCATCGAAACTGAGTACGTGATTAGTTGGTTTCTGTCAGATATTTGTTTCACTTTGCAGAACGTTTCATCGTTCGATTATACGAGTAAATTAGCTTATGGTCTGGTCCATGATGATGAAGCAGGGGCTGAATGGAAATGCCAGACTATCCTTCTTCCAGTTTGTTCTATGAGCCTACCGTCGTCAGTGCATGAATGCTGGACGGTAACTAAAAGATTGCAGTCCAAAGTCTTTTGCAGAGAAATGTGACCAAACTGAGAAAAGTTCGAAACATGGCAATCCAAAACACATTCTACTCTGAGTCGCTTCTTGTGAGATCGTGAGAAAGCACAATCGTGATGAGTTAGTTCTGTGATGACGACGTACATCTCATTGAACCTTACCCGATAGGCAGAGGACCGAGACCATTGGAAAGGCTAGCAAAAGTTACCCCGTGACTCGAAGTTGAAAACTGACATTGAAACTGAATGAATAAGATTATATGCTTGCTTTGTTGAAAAATGGCATTTTTCAGTAATTCGATTTAAGTAGTGACAACTTTCAGCCTTTATATGGCAGGAAAACGTCTGTGAAGCCAGACAGAGTAGTTTTATCACCTCTAGTTCACATCCATAAAGCAATGTGATTTTTATTTAGACAGCAAGTCCACCCCCCCCCAACATCCATCAAAATATAATCAACAGTTTCATTAATGGCTGCAGCTGCCATTGAGACAAATATAACAATAAGTTTATAACAGTATACATAACTGATTATATAGAATTGCAATACTACGAAAGAGTGAGTCATGAAAAAAGTCATACAAAGATATCAGATAAAGTAAGACAAAAGAGAACTCGCAAG